CCGTATTCATTGGATACTCCATAACTCGACCTGGATCTACTTGGTCCGATGCCACCGATGACTTCCTTCTGCAATGTAAAGAAACAAAAATTAAATAATTAGATCAGTTTAGGATTTTCGTTTTTTCTCATTTCTTATGCTTAAGTTTCTTTCCTTTACTTGAGTCTTGTATTTGGCAAAGTAGACTTCCGGTTTGCTAGGGCATTATGGTAGGCAGGTTGATCTCGGCCGCCACTTGCAGCAAAACCACTGAAACCACCACCGAAACCACCCCCTGCGCCAAAACCCGTGCGGGAACGCCTTGCTGGAATGTTTTGAATACCACCAGTAGGATCAACACCACCGGCGTTCGAAGGTCCACTGATGACCTTAGGATAGGAGGGGAGATAGGCTTGTCCAACGTAGATTGGACTTGGCTGGTTATAAAACTGTTCGGCTTCTGGCAGCGCCATCGCCGTCGCGGCGAGGGCCAGGATCTACAATTACAATTCAATTTTACTTTTCCGATGTATTTAAATATTGAAACCGAGATTTCGACTTTGATATTTGAGCTTAGTTTTATTATTTTTCTTTTATAAATATTTTAATATATTTAAGATAAACGTTCCCCCGTAACCGAACCTGCACAAAGTTTATTATTAGATATTAATGTTAAATGTTCTTTTTATATTATTATAATTTAATATTATAATTTAACGGTATTTAAAGATTGCAATTAAATTATAATATTATATTTAAGTAAGTATATGAAATTAATAATATGAACAAATATGCAGTTTTGTGTAAATATCCGGACATATAGGTATTACATATTCGGACACTGGGACGTTTATTTTATTATGATTCTAAAATTAAGCTCAGTTCTACTAATGTAAGATCAATTTTAATCTCAGTTTAATTTACTATTTACTTTTTTCTAATTTTTAGAAGTAGATAAATAGTAAAAGTTGATCCAAAATTAAACTTAATTTACATTGGTGAAACAAGATCATAATGTTCTAAATACTTTTCGGTTCTAAATACTGTTCTAAATACTTCATTTTTTTTTCATTGCAATTTAATATAATTATTATGCTAAAATTATGTGCTATTATAAAATTAATAAATAATGTAGCTCGTGAATAAGTCAAGTTGAATTCCTCAAAGTCGAACTCTAAGTATTTCTTATATAGAAGAAATGTATATGTGCAAAAAAATACGTTATTTATATTTTTACATTAATATATACAGTTTTCACGTATTCAAGAAAAATTAGGTACATCTTTCTCAAAGATAATATAAACTTTCATCTAATTTTTTTTCAAGTGAACAATGATCCTCGATATTCTTCTATTCGTACTTGCAATAAACATATCTGAAAAGCAAGGAGCAAACGTTTCAGAAGTGTTTCCGGACACGGCGATGGATTTACAAGCACGTGGAATGTATAATCCCTTTCTTTCAGTCATCGGCCGCACTTAACGTTTCATGATGTTAACGTTACGATGTTAATGTTACATAAACCCGGGAGAGAATCTCAAGATTTAAGTTCTTTTCTTTCCATTTTTCTCTTTTCTGTTTTCGCGAGAAGAGAAACGGAAAAGAGGACCCGAATAAAAAGACAGCGACAAGAGAGAAGAAGATGAAGGAATCGAGAAGAGAGTAGGAAAAGGAGGAGAAGAGGAAACGAGAAATTGGAGAAATCATCATGAACAAACATGAACGCTACTCACTATGAATGCCCTCATGGTAGATGCTGTTCCTTGATTTGAGGACTGAAGCTCCGCGGATGTCTTGAAGCTCCTTTTTATACAAGCCAGCATGGGAGCCCCACTCGATGCACTTCGACTAATCATCTATTACATAGGTCATCACATCCTATGAGATGCGCCTATTATAAATGTCTCTTCATCTTCTTTTCTAATTTTTACCTTTTTGCGATATAAAGCCATATGCGTTTATTTAAATTTGTCTTTACACTTTCATTAAAATCCATCTATTCAGATAGGTTGCGTCCACTCATGACTATACGTGTCATGTGGCATCGATTCAAATCAATGACGAATGAACATGAGAAATGTACTGTATGTTATGTCACAAAGATGGCAAGAATTATCTAATTACTTCGACATTATACACTATATCATAACAAGATGATTATTTTATTGATAAACTGAACCAGTCTTTCAACGAAATAATTTTTATTATTGTTATTCATTTATTTAATAATTTTAGTGGATGCAAAATGATATTGTATACATTTAGATAAAAAGTATTTTGCATATTATATGTTACTTTATTCCTAATAAAGAATGATGTATATGTCATTGTGAATAAAATATCACGAAATGAGACTTCATTATTATTATATTTAAAAAATATATATTTATTGATTTTATTGCTTCACAGGTATAAGTGTCACATTTATAAAATTGTTAATGACAAATTTTTAATAATATCGCATAGCCCTTACTTTACAAGACTTTTACGAAAAGAAAACACAATGTACGTTTATTGGATACTTAAAGAAAGATCAATGCAGGTATTATACCACCCGCAAATTATTGGCCATACAAGTTTCAGCCTATTTCCTACAGGCTGCAACTTCCTATATAAGTTGATGTCCGTTCACGAAAATACCGCTTTCTTTAATCCAAAATTTTCTCACGGCTAAATAAATTTGCTTAATTATTGTGAATTTAATTTGGAAACGTTAATATTGATATTATTCAGATATTATTCAGAAATATTGTTCAAAGTAGTGTAGTTTTTTTTCATCTTATGGATAGGAATAACAGTTTTATTGAAATATCTAAAAATTTGACTACATACAGATCTGAAAATAATTTTATGAACTATCAAAATAATTGTTGGAGTATAGTTGATAGAATTTAAAAGCATTAATTTTACAACATTGCTCATCATGCTTGAATTTCCTACATGATTATTTTTTTCAACGAAATTATTTTCAGATCTGTATCTATCTAAATTTTTATATGTTTCAGCAAAATTATTCTTTCTATGCGGACGTATAATACGTATACATTCGGATAAACAAATAATAAGTATGATAAATAATAAGTAAGCATGGATCCTGCGAAGGGTAGTTAAATCACATTTAAATGCAACTACGTGTTTTGGAAAACATGAGTGAGAGCTGAGGACAGGCTGAATCGCGAGAGCCTCTACTTTGACTTGAAACGAACTGATTTGTAGAACGATGATTATAACTGATATTGCCCGCCCGCCTATTCAAATCCGTGAGAAAAATTAAAATTGTGTTTTATGGTTCTGTGTAGACTCATTATCGTGCGTATGCGTTCGCATGCGTTTAAAAAGCGTGATTTTCGGCGCACCTTGTAGAAAGCGTACCTGGCACATCACAAGGAGCGGCGGAACATGATAAGCGAGTTCAGCACGGCCAGAGGATGCCATATATTTTAGGGGCGCGTATATTGTACTAAATAAGATTGAAATATTTTTTCAATAAATTGGGAAATACATAAAAATTGTGAATTAAACAATATTATAAAGCAAATAGTTATGATTCGTAACCCTTTTATGCATTTCACAATTAAAAAAAAAGAAATCTCAATTTTAGTAATGTCATGTGTATATCGACATATAACTTTCGATTTTTGCAATTTTTTTTCTCAAAACAGATTTTTTTAAAATACTGCTATCGACAAAAATATTAATCTTTCCTCGTAAAAAAAATTATAAAAAAATTTTAAATAATAAACTGAATCTGCTTTTTTATTTTATTTATTAAGACTTGTTTTTATATTAAATATTATTGAATTGACAAGAATCAGTTAAGGATGTTTTGTCTATACAATTTCAGTTACCCCCTCTGCCTCCCTCCTCCTCATCAAATTCTCACCTTGCAATAGTTATTGGGCGGGTCTCGCGGGCCGAGGGGCGCGTGAACTTGGAGGGCACGTGGTCTGAATGCTTCACAACAATACATCACGAAGCTTAATTTTGACTTGTTACGATGTCTTCATCGCCAAACGTCTGATAAGATTAAAATCGAGCAAGGAAATGCGTGCTTAGCGTCCTTGGAGGTCATAAGCTCCCTGGCTATAGCGAGTGGCGAGGCTTAAGGGTGGGCCTGTGGTCGATCAACTAAGAGAAATTCCTCACGCTAGGATGTGAGCTACCGTGCCTGGAGCTGCATAATGCAAGGGAAATTGCGTTCCGAACAATGCCTCCTGGAGGATGGGTGTCCTCCAGAAACAAATAGCCAAACCTCGGGCATTTGCGGCTTGGGTAAGATCGCGCGACCGCGGTACTCGTGGGACCTTTCATAGATATGACAACTAAAAAATTTAAAAATACTTTTTAAAAATTATGGAATGAGAAATTTCAGAATATTTCGGAATTCACTTGTATGAAAAATTCTTGAGAATATATAAACTTTTCGAATATTTCTAAGTATTTTTTTAAGGAACGCATAAAACCTCGATGTCAATTCGATGTCAAAAGCATCAAATCGACGTCGATTCAATATTGATTTCATTATCATTTCTGACTGGGCGACTGAACTGCAGATTGTCGGAGATTCATTCACTAGGTAAAAGAAAGATCATGAAAATACTGAAAGAAACATTTAAAATCTTGGAGAGAAGCAAAGGGCCGGTGAGCCAGGAAATTAACGAAACAATCCAATTTGGGTAGAACAAAAGAGCTGGCATCAATGGGAAGAGACAAATTAACAACGAGTATAGGCCTTCTTATTGGACACTTGTTCCTCAGAGAGCTCACTTATTCAACATTGGACTGGTCGAGCAGAAAGACTGTCGGCTATGTGGAGAGGAAAGTAAGGTCATCGTGCATCTTCTATATCGCTATTCTGCTTGTCTGTAAAAGATATATATCCTGGAGTCCCATGTTTTTAATATCCTAGGATCTAAATGGCACAAATAGACGATTTCATAAGCCTGGTACAGGGCTGGACCGTTTAACTTAGGAAACAAGTAGGGAGAAATAATGGAATTCTAGAGATCTAGGTCACACTAGGCGACTGCCATAGTTCCACCTGCATTATTTATTAATACTGCTATTACTTAATTGGTAGTACCGGACATTAGGCAAATTTAAATGTAAAAATTCCACGAAATCGGATTCCAGAATCAATTCGAATTGGAAAGGTATACCATAAGTTAACAAGCGTAGATAGTTTTATATAAAAATACATAAAAAAAGGTTTATTTCGCCACCGTTTTCTTGCAAAAAATAAGAATAAAAAATATCTCTCCTTCGCTCTAGTCGTCATAAAAAAACACCATCATCATCATCATCATCATCATTATCATCATCTTCATCATCGTCATCATCATTATAATGGTCGTCGTTGTGATAGATATCATCGTTCTTCTCATCATTGCCATCATCTTCATCATCATCATCGTCATCATCGTCGTCGTCGTTATCGTATTCAACACGTTATCATCATCGCCGTCTTCAATTTTGTTGACAACTTCTTTTCTTGGCGATCGCGCATATAACAGTGATACGTCAATACGGTAAGTATTATTATCGTTGATCATGTTAGATGTATGTGAACGGAGTGCGTGTACGTGTGTGATGAACGGGAGGGTAGGACGGAACAGTCGCGATGGGGGTAGCGGTGAATTGACTAGTATGGTCCGGATTCATCGGGTACCCCATAACTCGGCCTGGGTCTTGGTCCGATGCCACCAGTGACTTCCTTCTGCAATGTAAAGAAACAAAAATTAAGTAATTAGATCGGTTTAGGATTTTCGTTTTTTCTCATTTCTTATGCTTAAGTTTCTTTCCTTTACCTGAGTCTTGTATTTGATAAAGTAGACTTCCGGTTTGCTGGGCTGTGTGGGCGTTATGGTAGGCAGATTGATTTCGGGCGCCTCCTCGGGTTTCTTGACCAAAACGTAGATAAGTGTTTTCTGCTCATCTTGTTGCTGCACCGGGATCACCGGAACGGTCGGAGTTGGTGGAGTAGGTGCCTTGATGAAGACGATCTTATAGTGTTTCTGTGGTGGAACGATTGCAGCTCCCGCGCCGCGGCCTGCGGTAGGCTCAAGATCTTTAGATGGTCCGTAAACATAGATATTTCTAACAATCTGAGTGGCAGAACCAAATCCAGCTGCCGCCTCCGCATTAGCTCTACCGGCGATACCTCCAGTGCCGACACCGCCGATAATGCTATCAGCACCTCTGTTAGCATTAGCTCTGAACGAGGCTGTCTCGACACCACCGAAACCACCGCCCGCGCCGGAACCACACCACCGCCTGCGCCGAAACCTGCGCTGGGACGCCCCGCTGAGATGCCACTGATACCACTAATACCACCAACACCACCGACGAGCGAATATCCACCGGAAGGAGCACCGTAGCTACTGCTTGGCTGGCTATAAGAGTATCCGGCTTCTGGCCGCGCCATCGCCATCGCGGCGAGGGCCAGGATCTACAATTACAATTCAATTTTACTTTCCCGATGTGTTTAAATATTGAAATCGAGATTTCGACTTTGATATTTGAGCTTAGTTTTATTATTTTTCTTTTATAAATATTTTAATATATTTATGATAAACATTCCCTCGTAACCGAATATGCACAAAATTTATTATTAGATATTAATTTTAAATGCTCTTTGTATTATTATAATTTAATATTATAATTTAACGGTATTTAAAGATTGCAATTAAATTCTAATATTATATTTAAGAAAGCATTTGAGATTAATAATAATATGAACAAATATGCAGTTTTGTGTAAATATCCGAATATATAGGTATTACATATCCGGACACTGGGACGTTTATTTTATTATGATTTTAAAAGCTCAGTTCTACTAATGTAAAATCAATTTTAATCTCAGTTTAATTTACTATTTACTTTTTTCTAATTTTTAGAAGTAGATAAATAGTAAATTGATCCAAAATTAAAGTTAATTTACATTGGTGGAACAAGATCATAATGTTCTAAATATTTTTCGGTACTTCACTTTTTTTTCATTGCAATTTAGTATAATTATTATGCTAAAATTATGTGCTATTATAAAATTAATAAATAATCTCGTGAATAAGTCAAGTTGAATTCTTTAAAGTCGAACTCTAAATATTTCTTATATACAAGAAATGTACATGTGCGAAAAAAATACATTATTTATTTTTTTACATTAATACATATACAATTTTCACGTTTTTAATTGAAGAAAAATTAGGTACATCTTTCTCAAAGGTAATATAAATGCTTTCATCTAATTTTTTTTCAAGTGAACAATAATCCTCGATATTCTTCTATTCGTACTTGCAATAAACATATCTAAAAAGCAAGCAATAAACGTTTCAGAAGTGTTTCCGGAAGTGCACGGATTTACGAGCACGTGGAATGTATAATCCCTTTCTTTCAGTTACTGGCCGCACTTAATGTTTTATGGTGTTAGCGTTACATAAACTCGGGAGAGAATCTCAATATTTAAGTTCTTTTCTTTCTGTTTTTCTCTTTTCTGTTTTCGCGAAAAGAGAAACAGACAGGAGGACCCGAATAAAAAGCGAGAAGACAAGAGAGAAGAAGATGAAGGAATCGAGGAGAGAATGAGAAAAGGAAGAGAGGAGGAAACGAGAAATTGGAGAAATCATCATGAACTACTCACTATGAATGCCCTCATGATAGATGCTGTTCCTTGATATGAGGACTGAAGCTTCGCGGATGTCTTGAAGCTCCTTTTTATACAAGTCAGCATGGGAGCCCCACTCGATACTTCGACTAATCATCTATGACCTATGTCCTATGAGACGCACCTATTATGAATCTCTCTTCCTCTGCCTTTCTACTAATTTTTACCTCTTTTTGAGATAAAGCCATATGCGTTTATTCAAATTTGTCTTTGTACTTTCATTCCAAAATCCATCTATTCAGATAGATTGCGTCCACATGACTATACGTGTCATGTAGCATCGATTCAATGACGAATAAACGTGAGAAATAGATTATATGACATGTTATGTCACATAATCACAAAGATGGCAAGAATTTATCTAACTGCTTCGACATTATACGTTATATCATAACAAGATGGTTATTTTGTTGATAAAATGAACCAGTCTCTCAACGAAATAATTTTTATTATTGTTACTCATTGTTTACTTGTGATGTTCTTAATAATTTTAGTGGCTGCACAAAGTTATTGTATAAATTTAGATAAAAAGTATTTTGCATATTATATGTTGCTTTATTCCTAATAAAGAATGTATTATTTCTAATAAACGATGTATATGTTGTTATAAATAAAATATCACAAAATGAGACTTTATTATTACTATATTTTAAAAAAATATATTTATTGATTTTATTGCTTCAAGTGGCACATTTATAAAATTGTTAATGACAAACTTTTTAATGATATCGCATAGCCCTTCCATTACAAGAATTTTATGGAAAGACAATGTATGTTTCATGAATACTTAAAGAAAGATTATGAATGCAGATACAATATTATACCACCCGCAAATTATGTTGCAGTTTGCCATACAAGTTTTAGCCCATTTCTTAACCAGTTGGTTGCAACTTCCTATATAAGTCAATGTCCACCCACAAAAATACCGCTTTCTTTAATCCAAAATTTTTTCACAGCTAAATAAATTATCGATTAATTATTGAGAATTTAATTTGGAAATGTTAATATTAATATATTATTGATGTATTTAGATATATTATTCAGAGATATTGTTCAAAGCAGGGTAGTTTTTTCGTATCTTATGAATGAAAATAACAGTTTTGTTGAAGTATTTAAAAATTTGGCTAGATATAGATTTGAAAATAATTTTATGAACTATCAAAATAATTATGTGGAGTATAATTGAATGCAAAAGCTTTAATTTTACAGCTCATTATGCTTGAATTTCCTACATGATTTTTTTCAATAAATTATTTTCAGATCTGTATCTATCTAAATTTTTATTTATTTCAGCAAAATCATTCTTTCCATGTGGACGTATAATACATAGAGGAAAGTCTTTTATTATGAGATAGGCATCTAATATGAGATAGGCATCTAATATGAGATTGGCGCCTAATATGAGATAGTAGTATTTCCACTAAACTGTTATAATAAACGCTATCTATTGATTCCACCAAAAATTTATTGCCTTTGGATTAAAATCATTTAGTGAAAATTTATTACTAGATCGTGTCGTTGCAAAAATAGATTTTAGAATTTGGATATCTTCAAGTTTTGTTGAGATGAGCCTTTAAACCTTATTTATTATTTAATAAGTAAATATTTGGCAACAAATTCTTTATGTGGTGATAGAGTAAAATCATACTAATAGAAAAATACGGGATATATTGAATTGCTTAATTACAAAAGTTAGATTTGATGATCATAAAATCATAAAGTGTGGAAATCATAAGAGATATCCAGGGTATTTCTAATGAAATAATTTGTACTTCTATGTCATAGTGAAAATCATTGCTGAAGTATAAATGTTATTGTACAATAAAAAAGAATAATCGGAATAAACGTTGAGTGCCAGTTTCTGCGATGCTTGATTCCAACTAGAAGACGTGAAGACGAGTCCTAGGTACAATGCATCGCATAGGGTAAGTTGTCCAATGAACAATGAATCATATAAATTTCAGAGGCTTATATCTCTTTCACTTATTGAATTGAAGATCTGAATTTTGGCATACAGTTTATGAATTTAGTTGGCTACATAACTTTTAAGTTGTAAACAATAATTTTTAAGTTATTTTTTAAATTTAGATTATTTAAAAAAATCAGGAAGTGGTTTATTGTGTACAAGGGGTGTGTACATTAAGAACCATGCTATTTTTTATAATAAACTACATGTTTTATAAAACTAAATTTATGCGAATTGTTGTTATTTTAGTTTTGCTATATTTTAAAATATTTATTTATAAAATATATAATTATAAGATGGTGAGGATTCACAAAGTCATCGCGTTTTTCTTTCGTTTTGAGTGAAAACATGTCAAATGAATATATTTTTATTGAGATTTTAGGTGAGGGGACGGATCGTATTCTAAATAATTATTACAATGAATTATTATTTTGAAGGTTATCGTAAAAAAAATTATGTGGTCTACAATATGCGTTTAAAAAGCGTGATTTTCAGCTCATCTTGCATAGAAAGTGTAACTGGCATGTCGCGAACATCTAACAACTTGTTGAATCCATAAAAATGTTTGACTGAACAAATTTTGTTCGATTATGTTGTATTGATGTGTTCGATTGATGTGTTATTATATTGATGTGCCATTTGAGAGAATTATGCAATTCTAATTTGTACATGTGATGTATGAAAATTTTAAAACTTAATGCTACTCTAATTCTATTTTGTAAAAAATTTTTTTTAAATACTGCTATTGACAAAAATATTAATCTTTCCTCGTAAAAAAAAATTGTAAAAGAATTTAAAATAATAAACTAAATCTGCTTTTTTTTTATTTTATTTATTATATCTTATTTTTATATTGAATATTATTAAATTGACAAGAATCTCGTTAAGAATGTTCTTTTAGTCAAAATTTTATCTATACAATTTCAATTAAAAGTAGCAATCAAATAATCAATCAAAATAAACCAATATCAATTAATATTATTTTAAAAAATTTTGATATTAGCTCTAAAACCAATTGCAAAAATAAAACAAATAATTTGGCTTACAAATAGTTTTACGCAACAAAATGGTTATCTTTCTGCAGTTTTAGTCAACAACTTTTAATTTACATAAGAAAGACTAACAAAAACTTAAATAGCTTTTAAAACAATAAGAGAATTGTACCTTATACTTAATATTCAGATACAATAATGAAACAATATATAAAATTTGTATAATATTTTAAGATGACCCATATATCTAAATTTCGGACGAGACTTCTCTCTGTTATTATATACTATATGTAGAAATTTGCGTAAACGTTTATCTCATTTTTTTCAAGTGAGATGCGGACGTTTTGCGATTGACTAAGTACTTAATTCGCGGTAACCGAATGCTTTCCGCCACTGGTGGTTGAAACAATGGAATTGGCTGTTTCCGCGATCTGGTGAGGTCGAGAAACAGGCAGGAAGAGAAAATAAGTTAAAAATTTCGATTGCAACTTCCTCAGAAATACCTCGCGTTTATGCATACTACATAAGAGACGAGAAAGAGAAAAGAAAAAAAAAGAGCGAAACACAACGTGGGAGGGGAGAGAGAGAGAGAGAGAGAGAGAGAGAGAGAGAGAGAGAGAGATCCGTAAATCGGAACTAGATTTTTTTAATTATACGTTTGACACAAAATTATAGAAAATTATGAAAGGTATAATTCTGCAAATACATATCAACTTCTACTGCAATGATACAAGATGCTTTTGCCACATACAGAAAAGTAGATCACGAGCAGAACGAGTTCCCCAATTCGGACTGTTGATCATCGTATATCGGTAGACGAAAAGTTAGCCTTGAGTGACGTTATCCTCTCACGTTTGAAGTCCATCTCTCCTTTTCCCTTTGATTAACGTGTATAGATACAGACAAAGAGAAGCTACGTTTTGAAACTACAATTAAAAAATGACATAATAATAAAACTAATATAGGCAGATTCTATTCTTCCATGTAGATTCTGCTCTTCTTCTTGTAACCTCGACACGTATATATAAATGCTGTATCATTCGGCTCCTATAATTAATGGCTGTATAAATCAAACAAAAATAGAATAATCAAGAAAGACTTTGTTGTGAAATTTCACAATTTTATCTTATTTGTAAACGATTAATAATCGTTAAAAGTTAATACTGATTTACGATTAATATAATCGTTAAAATTAATTCTGTCTGCAGTTTGCAGAATAATTAAATTAATTGAAAAACAAAGAGACAGAAGAAAAACGTCGATTTAAAATAATGGCCAAGTGAAAGAGATTTCGATCGCAAAAGTCATACTTGTGAATTTCTCTCCAAGAATATTTCCTTCTTACATATAACTGGAATGATAGATTGTAGTAAAAGTGGACATTTCTTTTAGCTGATAGATTTTCGACGGAGAATCTAGAGCTCATGGCAAGTCACGAAATTATCGTTGGCCTTCATTGCGAAATTGAAAGTCTTCCTTGGCCGCAGAGAAAGAGAAAGAGAGGAAGAAAGGGACCTCGAAACCCATTTGACCCGAATATTCGATTCAACGCGGATTCTTGTTTTCTTTTTCGTTTCCTTGTCGAGGAGGAATTAAACTTTCCTGATCAAGGAAGTAGTACGGGAATCTTCCTTCCTTTTGTGTGTGTCGCGTTCTCTTCTTTCTGTCTGAACGAATTCAACGGATATAGATCTTTATCTATCATTCGGAATTCACTGATCGGCAGCAGCCATTGAGGCTGAGGACATGAGAGAGAGTCGGCAATACCTCTTGAAATGAAGCTCTCTTGAAGTAAAGAATCGTAGTCGACGTAAATTGTTTATAGAATTCGTCATTGTTCAAACATACGTCTTTTTTTTTCACTACACCGTTGGAAAATTTGTGTTAAATTTAATACATTTTACATGTCCTACATTCCTAGATATACTATTAAAAATTTAATACCATTTCTTCTAATAGAGAAACTATACTATTAAAGAAATAATTAGTACGTCCCAAAATATAACATGTCCCTCTATGGTACCAGAATCTCTTATTTTTTGAAGATGTTAATAAAACAACTAAGCTAAACAGATAAATAATAAGATCAACTTGCTCTTTTTATTGTTTAATTAAAATTTTACTAAATGCAAC